AAAGGCGGCCTCCAGGTAACAACAAGCAGGGCTATCAGTCATTTCAGGAGCAGGAAAGGGGAGGGAAGCAATTTTTGCTGGTGAGTTATAGGGTGAAATAGGAGGTAAAGGGAAGGAGAGATGTGTCAGTTCTCTGTCAAACTTGGTCATAAGCACCCACTGTGAGGTGTGTGTTTGTGTGTGTGTGTGTTTGGCACATGCCCATAGTGAAGGTAACAGCAGCGGTATGCCCAAACAGATACACTGTTTGCGCATACCGCTGGGAGACCACTGGAAGAAACCCTCATCGGATCCCACTGTCCTGGGCATTTATTTATTTATTTATTTATTTATTTGTCATTAGGACATAGAACCTGTTGTTAATGTATTTGAATCCCACCACTGGAGAAGAGGCAAAAATCTTTGCAGTCCATCCCATTTCCCCCAGAAGCAGACTTCTTTTCCTTGACCCAGTTCCTCTTACTGAAATGTTCGAGTTTGTACACACAGCAGATTAACCATAGTATGAAAACCCTCGCATAGATCATTAATAGTGTTTTCTTTTGTGTGTGCCAGCAGTTGAAATAATATTCAATTTGTCTTGGTAAAATTTTAAAGAACATTTATTAAATAACATATATGTGGAATAAATGAACAATGCTTGAAACATTTGGCTTGGTACAGACTTGTTCTTGACAGACTTATTATAGTTTCTTCTTAACAACCATAGTACCAGACAAGAGTCCTAACAGACAAACATAACAGAATTCTCTACCAGACCATTTACAGACAACTAACTGAAAAAAAACTGACACCTTTTTTTCCCGTCTATCTGGCAGTCAACCTACTTACTATTCATTGGCCAAACATACATGCATGCATGCATGCATGCATGCTGGGTTACAAGTATATATAATATCTCTTGGATTCTCCATTTCTTCAGCAGTACTGCTCGAGATGGGTTTGGAGGAGGAGGATGCTGCTCTCTCCAGCTTTGGCCTGCTGATTCAGTCCTGCTGCAATCACATTCAAGCATGCCCACCAGCCCTGCAGGACAATGCAATTTCCAATCAGTACTGCAAAGGTCTTGCAAATGCCTTGCATCAATTTGCCCTCTCTAGGTTCCCAAACATCTATCTAGACTCTATAAGTGTAGTAAAGATATGCAAGATATGTCACTATTACTATACAGAAAACTTTGTATAAGAGTTTGTGATCAGGGTTAAAGTCCTTTAATCCTTTCAATACGTTTGTCTGTAAAGGAGGCGACAGTAGCCCAAAATCTTCCAACAAAACAGGTTTATTATCTGACAAGTTATCAATCTCAAACATGCTTACATTATTCGGTTCCGCTTTTAACAACAAGTCATATTTCTTAACTTCCATCAAATCAGGTAACTCTCTTTGCAACAAAAGAGGAGATGAACTCTTAACTCTAGGTGTCCATTTCTGCCCAGTATCTATTGACTGTCAGGGCTATGGTGGTGGATGGTATACCCAGCCCACCTGTGGTTCCCAGACTTTCTTCACCCTGTTCTGTCTCAGTGAGGGTCTGAAAGGACTGAGCCCACGGGATCTCCCAGTTGGTGCCATACATCTCCTCTGTTCTTTGATTTGTTCTTCCCGCCTTACCCAAGCTTTATATTGTTTCTCCCTTTTCCTTTCCTCTGTCTCGCCCCAATAGGGTGGTTCTATATAGATTTGTCTTTTCCATTCTTTCTCAGCATATTCTTTGGGCACTTGAAACTCTACCCATTCCCCTGTCCAGGGATATTCTTCTATCAAATCTACTAAGTCTTCTCTCTTCTCTGTAATATCCTCCTCAGCCCAACACACCTCTCCATTTTCCTCTTTCCTTTCCCCTCCTTCTCCCCCTCTTTTCTATCCTCCCCTTTTCCCACCAAATTATCACCCCCTAGTGCTTCTGTACTTATTTTCAGTTGCTTTAACCCCCTTTTAATGATCTCTGTCTCTCCTTCTGCTCTGTTGGTATGGGAGACAGACGGTACACCCTGGAGAGTATCCCTGGGGTTACTCTCAGGCTCACAGAGTTACTATGATTTAGTTTGTAGATATATTGTTTCATACAGAGCTTGACAAATATTTGTAGACTCTGGGAAATGCACAGACTAATTCAGGAGCCAGCCAGATTGATTTTAGGAGCCAAAGAAATAGTCCTTCCATAGGGTTTGATGTAAAACAGTAAAATACATTAAGAGTCAGCAGCAGAGATTGTATGAGCCCTGGCTCCCTGGATCTGAACTTATTAATATGTTACCAGAGAGTTTAGATAGGAGAGAGAGCCATATGGTGATACATATAACTGCAACCAGAATACTATATGCATGGAAATGGAAGAAAACCAAAATACCAAATTGTGAAGAACTAGTGGAAAAGATTATGGAAGTGGTGGAGATGGACATATTAACAGAAGCTTTGAAAGACAATTCAATCGAAGAAGAATCTGAAAAATGGGAACCCCATATATAACTGGATCCATTCTATAACCTGAAAGCCAAATGTGATAATTTTAATACAAAATAGTTAAATAACTTTAGTTAGAATTATATGGGCAACTAACAGATACAAAAGTCTTTAATGTAATGATGTGTTTAAGTACAGATAATATGTGATAATGTATAGCATGATATAGGGACGTGGTGGCGCTGTGGGCTAAACCGCAGAAGCCTGTGCTGCAGGGTCAGAAGATCCGGCAGTCGTAAGATCGAATCCACTCAACGGAATGAGCACCCGTCGCTTGTCCCAGCTCCCGCCAACCTAGCGGTTCGAAAGCATGCAAATGCGAGTAGATAACTAAGGACCACCTCAGTGGGAAGGTAAACAGCATTCCGTGTCTAAATCACACTGGCCATGTGACCACGGAAAGATTGTCTTTGGACAAAACGCTGGCTCTATGGCTTGAAGAGCGGGATGAGTGCCGCCCCCTAGAGTCGGGCATGACTGGACAAAAAAAACATTGTCGAGGGGAACCTTTACCTTTTTATAGCATGATATATTCACTGTTATCCTGAGTTATTTCCCTTTACCCTTGAAATAATAATTTAAAAAGTCCTTCCATAGAGTTTAATGTAAAACAGTAAAAAAATATTAAGAGCCGGCAGCAGAGATTGTATGAGCCCTGGCTCCCTGGATCTGAACTGGAATGTGTAAAAGATACAAGAAAGAGGATTTTAATACTAAACACAAAACATCCTCTTTACAATAATGCAGTCAGCCTTGTCTACAAAGTGAATATCACACAATAGACTTAGTTCAATGGCGTGACTTATCGCTTCACTGGTTTTTAACTCAAACGTTTCTGTTACAGTCTATAATATTCAATGAGATAAATTAACTCATGCTATTAAATGGACTCCACTGAGTGCAAAATTTCAGCATAAGAGGCAAAAAAATGAAGAGGAAAAAAGAACATCACCCACAATTCTGGCTCCAAGAATTAACCAATATTGGCAGGTAAAATATTCTCCTCTGATAGAAGGAAAATTTTACAAACATAGCATTTTAATGCATAGACTTGGTATATCATGCCAATGAGCAGTAAATGCATAAGCCTTGTGCATCCTGCCAATGCCCTCTGTGCCTCCAAATAGCCTCCTTGTGCCATCTTAGCAAACAAAACAGCATCTCTGTACCACTTTAGCCCCCTAACAGCCCTTCTCTGCTGTCTTAGCCCCTAAAATATCCTCACTCTGCCATCTTT